CGGGCAAGCTCTTTGGATGACAGAAATTTATAGGAGGGGATGCATTATATTTTTGTCTAAATTTGATATCTTGGAGGTCCTTAAAATAGAAGACCATTGCTCAAAGCTCTACTAAGGCTGAGTATAAAGTAGAAGTTGACTTAGTTGCTGAAAATTATGGTTTAAGAGGTTACTCGCATATAATGTGTTTGATGGAATGCATTAGGTGTGATTTGTGGTGCTAGATTGAAAAATTGAGGTTTGGTCACTAGATGAGAATTTTGGCCAAGAGGGAAGATTTAGGTTGTTTGTTTTAATTGGTTTAATTATTGTATCATTAATGATTGGATGTTTAATTAATGGTATGGGTATGAAAAAATTGAGTTACATTAGACAACTTGGAGGTTAGTTTTCCATTAGGCAATTTTTGACCTAATGTGAAGAAAAGAGGAGAAAGGGATAACCTAAAATTTGATGATGCCTATAAGGTTTAGAAGTATGAATTGGCATGAAAAATGATTGATTACATGTTGGAGTTAAATTGTTATGTGGCTTGAATAATTCGGCCATAGTCTTAAAAATTGATGAATTTTTATGTTTATGTGTTTAGTTAATGATTCATGCATACTTTGATGAATTAGAACATGTTTATAGATGAAAACATGTGTGACATGTTCTTGTGATTTGTAAGTATGCATGGTTAAGGTAAAGGAAGGAATTAAAATGAAAGCAAAACAATGAATGGAAAGATATTTAGATGTTTTGTAATGAATGAATGATGTTTATGTTTGATTTGTATTTGGATAGAAATGTTTAATTGATTATTATGATTTAACCATGTATGTGTTTTTCATGGTTAATGATATTTGATTGATGAATATAAATTTATTCATGCTTTAATTCATTTGTACATGTTTTGTTTAAGAGGTTAATTACATTTACATCTATTTATTAAGCATGTTTAATTGAGGAAAAGGTAAATGAATGCATTTCATTCAAATGCATTTGCATATCATAACCATAAAAATGATTTTACTTCATGGTTTTGAGAAAAAAGAAAAGGAAAAAGACATGTTTTCAAACGAAATGGCTAGACACCTTCAAGAGGAAAAGGAAAAGGAAAAGGAAAAGGAAATGATATTATTATGCGGGATATCAACCTCTCGTGAAGAAAATGGAAAGGAAAAGGAAAAGGAAAAGAATTCTTTTCCAAAGGGAAGAATGAGGAAAATATAAGGTTTCTAGTTCTTTTTGTGAGTCTTTTCATAAATTGTATGTTTTAAAAGAGGGCTCGTTATGTATACAATCGACATATATAATTGGCAGAGTGCATCCGAGGAGGAAAATGAATTTCAAAAGGCATGAAAATGGTTTTCGGATGCATCACATACATGCATAATGAGCACTGCATGCATTACAAGGATTACACTTACTAATCAATCCTCACCTAGTTTCTTGTTATGTAGGTAATAAAAAGTTAGAGGATGACCGTTGCAGATGAGAGAATCGATTTGCCATATCGTATGCTTAATAATAAAAAATAAGTGAGGGAACTTTTACCTTTGCTTAACTTATTTTTAGATTTAGAAATGGACATTATATTAAGCAATTTATGGTATGTAATTTATGAATTTTGTGCTTGAGAATTAAATAGTATGCTTATGTCCTTAATTGCTTAGTTTGGTAGCTTAAGAAATTAATTGATTACTTAATCAATTGAATTGGACTTAAGTAAGTAATGGAAATAATTTGAGGTTAAATGGAAGCATTAATTGAATGGATAATTGGTTTAGAAGCTAAAGTTTTAATGTTAAGAAGTATGGAATTAAAATGGCAAGGTAAATTGGTTACAAATATTAACGCATTAAATAGAATTTAATGGTTAATGAATAAATGCATTTAATGGACTAGTTTAATAGGCTAGTTTAAATAAAATTGGAACCAAATTTCCATAAGTTCAAAAAAAAAAAAAAAAATTGAATGGTTAAAACTCTAATTAAAGGTTAAATGAATTTATTAAATGCTTAATTGAATTAATTAAATGGATTTCTAACGAATGAAATTTTTATAAGAATAATGGCATTAAGTCAAGATTTAATGGTTCAATATATATTGATTATTTTCTAATTAAATTGAATATACTATAATTAAATTATTTTTGGAATGCAAATAATGTAAATAATCCTACCATATTTTATATAATAGTTGGAAATTGAATATTTCTATTGTAAATTAAATATGAATTTTTAGAAGGAATTTGGAAAAATTAACACACATGGTACTATTCATTATAATATAAGGTATTTATTTAAATAGTTAAATTGGAATTCAAGAATATGAGTTTTTAACCAAATTATGACATGTAATATTTCTACACATGATGTAGGAATATTAATTGGCATTAGTGGAATTTTTGAAAAATTTTATACCTAAGTTTTAATTAATTTGAAGATATTATTCTTATTTATAAGGGACCTTGTAAGGATATTTGTTGACCAAATTATCACTTTGAATGTAAATCAATGCCGATAATACTTTGGGCCTATTTAGATCCTACGTTGGGGATGTTACATCGATATAATTAATTTCTTATCCTAAATATCTTAATCCATTGTCTTTCTAGGATTTTTTTAGTTTTTAGTTTTTTTTTTTAAGTACCAAGTGATGATTTTAAATCCTTAATTTTTTTTTCTTAGTCATTTGAAGATCTCATGTATCAAATAGCAGTATCCATATTACTTCACAATTAATCTAGATCCAACCATGAACATATAAATGTAGGTCAAATCCAAAATGTCCAATAGGTACCTTAACGATTTGGTTGATAACTTCAATATACATACGCACACACAACGACTCCCTAGTTCACTAATCCTTTTTCTAGATTAGAGTCATCCAATCGGATGCGGTTAAGCAAAGGGTAGGTATTGACATCGCATGGACGTGCATGCTTGGATTTTTTTGTAGCTGTAAAGAGCATCAATTCTTTCTTTTCACTTCGAGGTAACACAACTCATTTGAGCTTTACCTAATTTTGTTGGAAAAAAAAAAATTGAACACCTACTTCCAATAAATCTTCTTTACCACAAAATTAAATTAAGAGTAATCTGTTGAAGTTATATGTTTAGTAAAATAAAAGAGATTAATGTCGGCAGAAATAAATTTCATCCCATTGTTCATAAAGAAAATTCATTATTCTAAACGAAGAATTAAAAAAATGCCCCAGTATTTGAAAAAGACGCAGGAAGATCAAATGATAGGCTAAAAATAAAATAATGTGGTGGTTAGAGAGAAGATTGAGAGGATCAACAAAATTACAAAATCATCCCTTTTTCCAGCGCATTCAGCAAGTCATTCATCTCTCTCTCGACCGACAGGAAGGAAAATATTGTACACGCACTCATGGCCCCCCTCTCTTGCTGTCGGTGGCTATTTATTTATTTAAAAAAAGAAGTTATAATGCATGAGTAAAGCATAAATTAATCATTCCCATTTTGAGAAACGAATGAATTAATCTTTTTGTTTTTAAAAATTAATTTTTTAATCTTTATTTTTTTTTAAATCTACTCGTAATTTACTCATTTTATTAATTTATTTGATTTTTTATTTTAAGAAATAGAAAAAACAAAAAAAAATTGAAAAGATTAATAGAAAAGAAGACATTTTGTAAAAAAAAAAAAATTCAATTAAACATGGTCAACAATGATTAAATAATTAAGTAGTAATTTTTGAAACAAAAGGACTAATTAATTCAATTTTTGAAACTATAGGGACTAATTTATAATTTACTCTACATGGATTACTTGTTTTGAGCTTTTATTTGTTTTTATTCCTACTGACTTTTATATGAGGGGACGAAAACAAATATCCTGGTTTCGTACCAAATATATCTATCGATTTCTTAAAGCTTAAAAGGTATTATACCAAACTTGAAAAACAAGGAATGCGTTTCTTTTCAAGGTCATCAGTTTTATTTTATTACGAAGGAACAACACTCCGTTAGTTGGCCCTATCATTTTCATTTTAGCAAAAAAGAAAGAGACTTTCTTTTTAATTGTTTGGGTAAAAGGAGAAACACTTGGTAACCACTTTTCATTTTAGTACTTACGTAATACATTTTTTTTCTTTTCACTTAATTAATACGTATGTACATGATTTAATTATTGAAAAGTGAAGGAAGGTAATTAAGTACATGAGAGGAATTCACATTACTTTTTAACTTAATTATTATTATTATTATTATTTTTTTGGTAATTCAAGGTGTTCGAGTCAGCTTACGTGCACCGTGACTAATCCTCGAGCCCATTAAACATCCTGCAAGCCGAGGGGCATATAAGGCACCACATGGGTGATAGGCGTATGCAGAGAGAGTTAAATCCGAGATGATCATCAAGGGATAAGCACTCGTTTCGTTATACTACGACATCAAACGCAACTTAATTAATTATTGAACCAGTAGGTGATGGCGACCCTACCCTTATTTAATAAAACAAAATAATTATTGTATGTATATATTTTTTTCACTCTGGCATAACTAAATGATGATTTACCTACTCTTGAATGTAAGATTGTGACATCGCTCCCCACTCCAATTTTTAAATAATTTTAAATTTTCAAATAATTGCAAATTATAAATGCAGAGAAAGGGAAAGACAAAGAAAAGAAAAGGGCTCTCTTCATTTTCGGCAATTTTCTCTTTTTTGGTAAAATAAGCTTGGATTTCTTTAATAAACAACAGTTAGTTCCCTCCATTTCCTTAACCTTGACAGTCAGACTATTAACTGTATCTATCTCTCTCTCTCTCTCTCGCTTTCCCTCTCGGAAATTTTTTTTTTTTTTTATAAGTCCTAGTTGAACTCTCTCAAGAAGGAGAAGAAAAGGGCTCTCTTCTCTTTCCATGTGAAAAAGAAAGGCCGCACCGACTTCCACAGTTGTCTACTTCTCTCTCTGCTTTCATGCAGATCTTGAGCTGAACCAGAAGCATAACCATCACATTTTCAACACAAGTTTTACATCAAGAAATGGAGTCTTCTTCCTTATTACTCACTGGATCTGTTTCCAAGATTACCACTTTTACCATTTTGATTGTTTTCTTGCTTTCTTCCTCAACTTTCACTTCTACAGGTCAGTCTTCGTCTTTTGCTTAATTTTCTTGCTTCTTGAATTGGTTCTTTCTTCTTCTTCTTCTTTTTTTATTCCCTTCTAATTTGGGTTTTGATTATCTAGCTACTTGAGTATTAGTTGTCTCATTTTCAATGTACTTTACTGTTTATAGTAGATAAATGACTGTTAAAATTTGAAAGCCTGCTACTTTGCTCTAAGAAGCATCAATTTGGGTTTCTTTTTATACATTCAACTTAAGATCTTGGACTTTTCTTATGTACACAGACATTGTTAACATATTATCTATGGATTTAGATTGCTCTCTTGCTATCATTTTTCCCTCTGCCTGTACAATTAAAACTTTGATCTACTTTTTATACAATATAATGCTGAGATAGTTAGAATCTTGACCACTGAAGTTTTCATCTTTGCTGGATGTACTTGCAGAAGCTTATGATGCTCTTGATCCAAATGGGAATATAACTATTAAATGGGACGTAATACAGTGGACTCCAGATGGCTATGTGGTAAGTGCTAGCCAGCGCATGATGCAATGCTACATCTAGTGAATTTTTGGATTACTAAATCAAGCATTCCAAAGACTTGCCATTTCCAACCTTATAAAGTTCATCACCTGAATCTTTTTCTCTGAACTTTCTCTTGTTTGTTGTTCACATTTGCAGGCAGTTGTTACAATGTATAACTTCCAGCAATATCGCCACATTCAGTCACCTGGTTGGACTTTGGGGTGGACGTGGGCGAAAAAGGAAGTAATCTGGAGCATGATGGGATCGCAAACCACCGAACAAGGCGATTGTTCAAAATTCAAAGGAAACATACCTCATTGCTGTAAGAAGGATCCAACTGTTGTGGATTTATTGCCAGGAACCCCTTACAACCAGCAGATTGCCAATTGCTGCAAAGGGGGAGTGATCAGCTCCTGGGCACAGGACCCAGCCAATGCAGTGAGCTCCTTTCAAGTTAGTGTGGGTGCCGCTGGAACCACTAACAAAACTGTCAGGGTGCCAAAGAACTTCACCTTGAGAGCACCTGGGCCTGGATATACTTGTGGGCCAGCAAAGATTGTGAAATCAACTAAATTTATATCGGCTGACCAAAGGAGAATCACTCAAGCTTTAAGTAAGTTGTTTTCTCAAGTCTTTTGGACTAGTTTAGAGGCTCATTGCTTTGAATGCATTTTCTGGATTGTGACAACTGATCTAGTACTATGATAATGCCTGTTTGTAGCCTGTCAGACTAATATAGTGTCCAATGATTATCAGGAACATGCCTACAAATCTATAGTTTTGTGTTTGCCTAGTTTCAAAACATCATGTGATACTAGCAGCTCTTTGCCAAAACTTTTCTTGATTGTAGTTGTTCTCCTGAAAGAACCCTGCGTTGTTATATTGAAAATTGAGCTTGAAATGGGCTAGAAGTTGAAGTATGATATGATTACTATGAATCATAACTCTTCTTCATATAGTTAATGCAATTCTCAGTGTGGCAGTACAACATTCTACGTATATCTAACATCGCATGCGATTGCAGTGACCTGGAATGTTACTTGCACTTACTCACAATTCCTGGCTCAAAAGACACCTACCTGTTGTGTTTCTCTCTCCTCCTTTTATAATGACACAATAGTAAGCTGTCCAACTTGTGCTTGTGGCTGTCAAAATAGCACAAAAGGACCGGGGAGTGGAACCTGTGTGCAGTAAGTTTCCTCATTTGTCAGTTTATCATTTACTTAAATTCATGTTTTCTTTCTCTAACTTCCTAACATAGTTCTGCTTTGCTCTTACTTTTTCCGCTGATCTCTTGCTCTAATGTGTTTTTCAGCCCAGACTCTCCACACTTAGCCTCAGTTGTCTCACCTCCAGGAAAATCTGACAATACACCTTTGGTCCAGTGTACCAGCCATATGTGTCCAATTCGAGTCCACTGGCATGTCAAGCTCAATTACAAGGAGTATTGGCGGGTGAAGGTTACAATCACTAATTTCAATTATCGAATGAACTACTCGCTGTGGAATATGGTTGTGCAACACCCCAACTTTGATAACCTAACCAAGATTTTCAGTTTTAATTACAAGCCACTTACTCCTTACGAAGGGCTAAGTGAGTTACCAAAATTTCTCTCTTTCTCCATCATTTTGCTTGTGGAAACCTGTATGGTCCTCTTTTTGTCTTGTGTCTGAGATGTATTTTGCTATATGAATTATGTTTTGCAGATGATACAGCCATGTTATGGGGTCTCAAGTTCTACAATGATTTTCTTTCACAAGCTGGCCCTCTTGGGAATGTTCAGTCAGAGCTACTTTTCCGAAAGGACAAATCAACTTTCACTTTTGATAAGGGGTGGGCTTTCCCTAGGAGGATTTACTTTAATGGTGATAATTGTGTAATGCCACCACCAGATGCCTACCCATGGTTGCCGAATGACAGTTCTCGCCCTGTCATCTCCTTACTACTTCCAGTCATGACATTCTTTGTGTCTATGGCATTCCTGTTTGCCCATTTGTGATGAAATCATGCCTATGCCAATCTTCTGAAGTTATCTGTGGTTCTAACAATCTAGAAATCCCATCTTGTTTGAGTTACAGTACTGGGATTTAAGGGAATCCAGCCAACGGGCTCGAATGAATAAGGTCAGCAAGTTATATGGCAATACAAGTGAATTCAGAGCACCATAACGCCATGTTACTTCCAATGTATGCTCTGCTTTTAGTATGTTAATTGGCAATTAGAAATTTTCTGTCACATTTTTTTTTTATATTGAGAATTAGTGGGTCTTCTGGATGTTTATTTATGTTATACGCTCATCTTTTTGTTTGTAGAATATCAACAGCACATTATATGTTTGTATCATTGTAATAAGGAACTCCACCAAGAATTTACAGTTGATGTATGGATTTTATTCATAGTTTTTTTATTTCCCTTGGAGTCTTTATGCATATTTATTTTCATTGCTACATGCCAAACACGAATGATGTGCTAAAAGTTGGTGGTAATTAAACTTGCTCTGACAGAAAGGAAGAAATGAAATATTTTGATTTGAACACACCAAAAAGATTTCGTTATAACCCTAGTTTGTTCATCCCAAGCTCATTCACTCGCATAAAGAATAGTACATCTGAATGTTCCCACACCTGATTATAACTTCTAGTCCACGGATGAGTGTTAATGATGATATATGTACCTGTTATAAAAAATTGTCTGCCTTTCAAAATCACCATGCGCATGATCAGCTGCAAGAACATCTGAAGTTCATCATTTTCCTCCGTTGGTCACCACAATGACAGTAATATCAAAAGCAAGGAAGCTGCCATCGCTAAGATTGCAGTTGGATTTGCATAGGCAGAATTTGGCAGATATGGATATGTGTCAGGTGGGGGAAGCATGCATTCTTCACCGTTGAAGTAGACCTTCCTTGGAAATGCCCATCCCTGTTTCAGGCTAAAAGTGTTCTTATCCTTCTGAAGAAGCACCTCAGACTGGACATTTCCAAAAGGGCCAGCTTCCATTAGAAGGTCATTGTAGAACTTCATGCCAAAGAACATACCGGTATCATCTGCACAAAATCAGTTACAGGTGAACATTTACTTCATTCTGGGGTTTCATTATCAGAAAAACTTTATTGGCATTTTTGTGTGTGGGCAAGTTTCTGCAACTGCACATGGATGAAAGTAATTTAGTTTTTACGGACTTACTTATGGATTCATATGGTATGAGAGGTTTGTAATCAAAGCTGAAGACTTTAGTGACATTGTTGAGATTTGGATGCTGAACAACAAGAGTCCACTGTGTGTAGTTCAACCGGTAGTTGAAATTAGTTACCGCAACCTTTGCACGCCAGTAGTCTCTATAATTGACCTTCACATGCCAGTGCACTCGAATAGGGCACATATGGTGTGTGCACTGTAGCAATGGTGAATTGTCCTTCTTTGGTGTGTTTATCCCCTTTCTGTGTGCTTGCTTTGAGTTACTCCTGCATTTTTCGAGATCCAGCAGCGAAATTTACATTTCAAATAATTAACATATACCAGCCTTCAATAAGTAGTTTTATTAGCAAGCAGCTGTACTTGTATTGACACAACTATATTAGTTACTGTCATTGTTTAGTTGGAGATAAGAGTAATGTGAAGAAACAAAATCTGAAGTCTTACTTGACACAGCTGTTCTTGTTCTGGCAACCGCAAGCGCAGGTCGGGCAAGGAGTGATTGTTTCGTTGTAGAAAGACGAGAAAGAAACGCAGCAGGTTGGATTTTTGGAGGCTAGAAACTGCGAGTAGGTACAGGTCACATTCCATGTCACTGCATATGGAAGAATGAGACATTATCTTGAGGAACTTGCAACAAACTAAAACGTAAGATGTTGAGAACAAACTTGGAGGAAATAAACTTACTGAGGGCCTGGGTTTTTCGCCTACGGTCAGGTGTCAGGAAGACCGTAGATGGCACTACCTTTGCAGGTCCACAAGTATACCCTGGTCCTGGGCCAAGCAAAGTGAAGTTCCTGGGCAGTTTCACTGTTTTATTTGATGTTCCGCCCTGTCCAATACTCACCTGAAAGGCTGAGATTGAAGCTGTAGGATCTTGACCCCAAGCTGCCAGTACACCGCCCTTACAACAATTGGAGTATTGCTGGTTGTAAGGGACTCCAGGAAGCAGGTCTACAACTGTGGGGGTCTTTTTACAGCAATGTGGTATGTTTCCCTTGAACTTAGAACAGTCTCCTTGCTCTGTGGTTTGAGCCCCCACCATCGACCATATCACTTCTTTCTTAGCCCATGACCACGATAGAGTCCAGCCAGGGCTCATGATGTGCCGGTACAATTGGAAGTTGCTCATGGTTACTGTAGCCTGTGAAAAAAAAAAAAACATCGACTGCTATGCTTACTGCTAGTTAATTAAATTCAACTCCTGATAGAGTTCTTTTCAATTAGTTTTTGTTACGCTTATTAAATGTCTTATTGGTTACTTGAACTCACATATATATATATATATATATATATATGTATATGTATTTATGTATCTTGATCTAAGAAAGAATGAGCTTGCGTGCATCCGGATCTACGAGAAAGTGAGGAAAGGAAATGTTAACAAATGCTCAGGCAATGCCCTTTCATTTTTCTGTAATCAATGAAATGAAGGTGATAGGGAAAGGAAATGGGATCCTGAAGGTGGTGGATTCTCTTGTTTGATTTCTATAGTTGATGGCGGAATAGTGTAGGAGACAAAATCAAAACTTGAAACCTAATTCAGGCTAGGTTTCAAAACACAAGTAAGGCTTATTATTATTCTTCTGGATTTGTTCTCTTTCCTTGATCGAGCCTTTTTGAGAAATTTGTAATAAAATGAGCAGAAGATTATACAGTTATTGGACAAGGGGATTTGGGAAATATGAGAATTAACGAAATTGAAGTGCAGGGAAATTTAGTGCTACTTGAGTTGTGTATTCTGTCAGAAATATATAGATATGCAAAATGTGGTGTATAAGAAAAAGAAAAGAGATGATACTCACCACATAACCGTCTGGTGTCCAAGACATTACGTCCCATTTGATGGTTATGTTTCCATTTGGATCCAATGGGTCGTATGCAGCTACATTAATCATGATAACAAAGCAAGACAGCAAACGAATATAGATTAGAACTCAATGTCATGAAAAAAAACAGTGAAGAAAATCCAGCTTTCAAGTTTGTTATCCTGAGGAAGAAGTCTATATATGGTCTATACCTGCACGAGAAAGAATCATGAAAGCTAGAGCAATCAAGAATATGAATTTCAAGGAGCATTGCCGCAATTGATAACAATCTTTGGCGTACTTATCGAATTCCATGGCGTCAAGGGGTCACCTGACCAGGAGCTCTGCAGCAACGACTTAGAGGGCACAAGAACAGGATGAACTTATCTAACAGCAATATGTTAAGGAAGACTAGTAAAAATGAGAATGAAAGCCTGATGATGTCGCACTCTCACCTACTGGTTGTTAGGCTATTAAGCAGACATTATTTTTTCATCTCTTGATATGCACACCACCTTATTCGTACTATATTTTTCAGCACCTGGTTTCCTGAATCTTGAAGCAAAGCTTCGGTGAGAAAATGATTGAAAAGCTGGCGCGGGAGAGGTTTGAACACAACAGCTCAACGGTTCTTCCCTTCCAAAGTACTACTACTGTTGCCTGTTTGTTCCTGATCAGTCTGACACATGCCACTATTGGACTGCTTTGAAACCAAGTCTTCTCTTCCAGTGACTTTTTACCGATATGTTCTCTCTACTCTCTACCTCTTCTTGACATCAACTTAAATTCACAAGTCCATACCTCCTTCGCTACTTTGGGTCTCTAGTTTTGTCGATTGAGTAAACTCTACTACAGTTGCTTAAAGTAGGCAAAGTTGGCCCATCCATCCAATTCAATGATATTTAATAGGGCCAAGCTGGTACATTGTTACCATCCATTACCAATACCAATGATCAGAATTTCTAATCAGATCGAACATCCCTTAATTGTTCATTGTAGACAAAATAAAGCAGGTGGTCTTCCTCCATTCCAATCCCCTATATATATACATAAAAAACATAACTGTTTGTGGAAAATATATAGTTTGCAAACATTTTCCTATCTGCCTGGGTTCATTGGCCTAGCTAGTAATATTAGCTTCTTTAATCAAGTCGTTAAAATCCAAATCTTTTCAGCTGTTTTCTAAATGTGTAAAACTTATAAGATACAATCTCACTCATCAATAATCTTTCGTGAAGAGATTGCTTGTTTGCTTGTGGTTTAGATATTGAATCCCAGGCTACTGCAGGTGATCAATAGTTCTGCTACTTTGACCCATCTAAAATATAATTAATTTGTAGCCATCAGAAAGTTTACAGTCATGATTGGAGTAGCTAGCTAGGTCTAGGAGTACAGACTACTTTTGCATGAGATATTCTATATATCTTCTTAACCACCATTGAACCTCTTCACATGGAATTTATTTGCAATTGATTAATTCTGAACATGGATGTGTGTCCAATTTGGAAGGTATAAAGATCGCTTAATTTCAAGAGTAGAGCGGATTCAATTGATCTTAAAACAGTTCCTAAATTCTCTATACAATGAATGCCATGTGCATTTCATAGACAACAATCCTGTTGGGGGAAAACAGCACTTTTCAAAGAAATCACTCACACGATAATAATTCTACTTCCCTGAATTGTTATGGTTCAGTGATCACCAAAAGACTAGCAACTCCAGAAGCAAAAATGCAGCAGAAATAAGAGTTGATAATGCAATCACATTTGCTGGTGCAGAGCTTGGTAAATACGGGTAATTGTCAGGAGGGGGCATCATACATTCATCCCCATTGAAGTAGACTTTTCTGGGGAAAGCCCATCCCTGGTTCAATGTGAATGTGTTCTTATCCTTCTGGAGAATCAACTCTGTCTGGATATTTCCATCTGGCCCGGCTTCCATTAAGATATCATTGAAGAACTTCATACCATAAAACATTCCAGAGTCATCTGCATAATCATTATACGTACAGAAATACTCAGCCTAAATTCAACAAATACCAAGTAATTAAAGATTGCCCATAAGTACAAAGAATTGCTAGCTTTTTCACACTAAAATGATTTGCATTATATGACAAAGCAAATTCCCTGGCTAACAATTTGTAGCTTTGAAAAAGCTTTTCAAAAATTGTTCTTCAAGCGTTATTATGGACTACTTACTTGTGGATGTATATGGCAAGAGTGGCTTGTAGGAAAAGCTAAAAACTTGAGTGATATTGTTGAGATTTGGATGCTGAGCAACAAGCGTCCACTGTGTATAATTCAGGCGATAGTTGAAATTGGTGATGGAAATTTTCACTCGCCAATATTCCTTGTAGTTCAACTTCACATGCCAATGCACGCGGATAGGGCAATTGTGCTGCGTGCACTGCAGTAATGGGGTGTTGTCTTTCGTTGGTGTGTTTAGTCCTACAACGCTCCGAATCTTCGAATCACTCCTGCATTATGCTTATGCTTTTTAAATTTAAGGGAGTGAGACTTATTAATATATGTAAATGTTAATGCTTGTTTTTTTAAATTAACTAGCTAGTGGTTGCAGGCATACAGTTTGTAATTGCTAGGTGTGTAGAGTCAAAACTATGTAGCAGATTCTGAAGCATCCGCATAGAAATATGTACAAACATAGTTTTAAATCGCTGACGATTGAAAAAACGATCGTGGTCACCATCACTGATCGCGGCTTACTATAATACTAAAATATCGGTAACGAAATGCTCCGAAATCGTTACATAACGGCTGTTATATAATGTAACAGCCGCTATTTAAAACTACGTGTACAAAGATACAGTATAATGTGCACTACTATAGTAATTGTCAGATGAAATGTAAATGTGACTCAGCAATGCATGCGGCTTGTTTGTGTATTGACGATTCGAAAGAGGCTTACGCAACACAACTGTTGTTTTTCTGGCATCCACAAGCACAGGTTCGACAAGGAGTGATGGTAGAGTTGTAAAAAGATGACATCGATACGCAACAGGTTGGATTCTTAGACGCCAACATTTGGGAGTATGTGCATGTCACATTCCAAGTCACTGCAAATAACAAACAAAGGATTAAAAAAGATGGTAATTCTGAAAGCTACTATAATTGCTTTGGGGTTTAGGCAATTGCAATCTCTTTTTGATTTCTTCAAGGTATTTTGTTAATAAAATGTAATACTGCAGTAACTAATTGAGATTTGACAGCTTAAATTGATCATCAACCACCATATCATTATTAGCAATTACGATTTTTCTGGTTTCTAGAGAAAATAGTCCCTATCGAGAAGTGGACTTACTCATTGCTTGAGTTTTTCGACGGCCATCAGAAGTGAGAAAAACCGTGGATGGAACAATTTTCGCTTGGCTGCAAGTGTAGCCTAGTCCTGGACCAAGCAAAGTGAAGTTCTTCGGCAATCTCACCGTTTTATTGGTAGCACCTGAACGTCCTACGCTCAACTGAAAGGAAGAAACTGCGGCTGAAGGGTCTTGTCCCCAAGATGATACCACACCGCCTTTGCAGCAATTGGCAATTTGTTGGTTGTAAGGTACTCCAGGAAGCAAGTCAACAACTGTAGGGTTCCTCTTACAACAGTGTGGGATGTTCGTTCTGAACTTGGAACAGTCTCCTTGCTCAGTGGCTTGAGCTCCCACCATCGACCAGATGACTTCTTTCTTAGCCCATGTCCATCCCACGGTCCAGCCAGGATTCATGATGTGACGATACATTTGGAAGTTGGTCATTGTCACCACTGCCTGAAACGTCAAACAAGTAACTTTAAGTCTTCTGAAACATTTATATCCGTGCAACCAATGATCGATGTTCAGAATTGCCTAATCTGCAGCTCTTTTAATGTCCCATTTGAGTAACGTTAATGAAATATAGTAACTTACCACATAACCATCTGGAGTCCATGACATAACGTCCCATTTGAGTGTTATGTTCCCAGTTGGGTCCAAATAGTCATATGCCTCTGAAATTGTAAATCACAGTTCAAAAGAAACAGGAAGTTAGTAGGTAAGTACATGAGAACATGAAAGGAGTTGAAAACCTTGAGCAGAGACTATAGTTTTAGTACCTGCATGGGCGAATATGAGAAAAAAGACAACAGCTGAGAAAAACGAATAAGAAAATCTATCAAAAATATCCATGCTCAAGTTCTCCAGTACACGAGCATGAGGCCTTTAGTTTTCGCAAAAGATACGAATTAAGGGAAAGGAAAGGGAAAGGGAACAGGCATCAAGCTAATGAAGGCTTGAACCAGTTCATTGTCATGAATAATTATTTATAGCAGATTCACAACCAGCCAGCTTCATTTGTCGCAAGTTCATGTCAATTTCTTTCAAAGTTTACTTCTTTGTACATGTGTGTAAAGTGTCCTTTCATGTCTGTTAAAGCAAATCATTGTTTATGGATTGACCAAACCTCTTCTGATCGATGTAACCTTACCTACCAGTGGACATTCCAGACCTGAAATTACATAGATAACACCGGTTCATAGCTCAGACGGTCAAGTGAGGATGGATGCAGGGCAAAGGACATTGTTGTCCATGAATGATCAGGAGAAGCATTCAAAACTACAAGCAAATAAGACGAATTATTTTTTATTTTTTTAAATAAAAAATTAGCCGCCTAAGTCCTTATCTATGATTTCCATTCTTTCTTTATTGAAATTTCTGTTTCTTTAGTTTGGTTTGTAAGAGGGAGGGGAGGGCCTGGAGATTTTGGTAGGAGCTGGAATTAAGTAGTAGTCAACTGATCCCTTTGTGAGAATGACTTGTTAACAGTTCTCTCATCCCACATTACTTCAACAGGTGATGAATATTCTAATCTTGTTTGTTTATTTAGCTTGCAATTCCTTCAACGGAGAAGCTTTCAGAACTACAATAACTAAATAAATATATTTGCACGTGATACGCGGTTTATCACCAGTTGTGCGAAGTAATAATAAGGAAGAAGTCAAGCCGTAGCCTCATATAATTAAATTATTATTAGTCCAGATAATTAGAGCTTTCATCCAATAACGAAGGACTAACTAACTATATTATTTATGTATTTGTGAACGAATGAATTTATTCATGGAAGAGACTTTAATTTTTCTAACTAAATATAATTCTCTGGTAGTTCAATTATATACGGAACATCTGATGATCATACTTCCCATCTAACGCACTTGAAAACAAAAGCTTAATAAAATGTATAACCTAAAAGATGCATGGAGCATGAATAGAATCAACAATGATGATTCTAGTCCAGCTAGCAGGATCACAAAAACAGATCCATAGTTGCAATCATTCTGATACAGCTTGGTAATACTCCCATGTACCACCTAAATAGATTGATAATATTACATGATATTGCTTATATTCAGAGTGCAATGAATGCAAGCGAATAAGCCTCTTTTCTTAACATTTGCAAAATATTAGCAAAATGGGTATTTTATATGGGATCTTTAATAAATAAAAAATAATAGGTCCAAATTAAATAAAACTTACGAATAATTTTTTCTTTTTTAAAAAAATTCAATTAACATCTATTAATATTCCTATATCATGTGTAGAAATATTAAATGTCATAATTTGACCAAAAACTCATATTCTTGGATTCCAATTTATCATTTAAATACATACCTTATATTATTTTGAATAGTACCATGTATATTGTTTTGCTCAAATTCCTTCTAACAATTCATATTTAATTTAAATTAGTAATAATCAATTTTCAAATATTCCATAAAATAAAGTAGGATTTTTCTACATTATTTTCACTTCAAAAATAATTTAATTACAATATATTTAATTTAATTTGAAATTAATCAATGCATACTAAACCATTATTGTTAATTAGAGCTTTAAGCCAATAATGAAGGACTAACTAACTATATAATTTATGTATTTGTGAACGAATGAATTTATTGATGGAAGAGACTTAAACTTTTCTAACTAAATATAATTCTCTGGTAATTCAATTATATATGGAACATCAGATGATCATACTTCCCATCTAACTCACTTGAAACCAAAAGCTTAATAGAATGTATAACTTAAAAGATGCATGGAGCATGAATAGAATCAATAATAATGATCCTAGTCCAGCTAGCAGGATGACAAGAACGGATCTATAGTTGCAATAATTCTGACACAGGTTCATAATACCACGCTTTAAGAGCTAAATAGGCCAATAATATTACCGACGTTGACTTATTTTCAGATAATAATGAATGCAAGCCAATAAGCCTCTTTTCTTAACATTTGCAAAATACTAGTAAAATGGGTATTTTATATGGGATCCTTAATAAATAAGAAATAATAGGTCCAAATTAAATAAAACTTACGAATAATTTTTTCTTTTTTAAAAAAATTCAACTAACATCAATTAATATTCCTATATCATGTGTAGAAATATTAAATGTCATAATTTGACCAAAAACTCATATTCTTGGATTCCAATTTACCATTTAAATACAATACCTTATATTATTTTGAATAGTACCATGTATATTATTTTGCTCAAATTCATTCTAAAAATTCATATTTAATTTAAATTAGTAATAATCAATTTTCAAATATTCTATAAAATAAAGTTGGATTATTCTACATTATTTTCACTTCAAAAATAATTCAATTATAATCTATTTAATTTAATTTGAAAATAATCAATGCATACTAAACCATTAAATCTTGATTTAATGGTATTATTTCTATTAAAATTCCATAGGCTAGAAATTCAATCAATTAATTCAATTAAAAACTTAATAAATTTATTTAAACCTTTAATGAGAGTTTTGATTATTCAAAACATTTTTTAGACTCATGGAACTTTGGTTCTAAATTTATTTAAACTAGCCCATTAAACAAGTCCAATAAATACATTTATTCATTAATAATTTAATTACATTTAATACCTTAACCTTGGTAACCATTTTTACCTTACTATTTTAATTCTATACTTTTTACTATTAATTTTTTAACGATTAATTTACGTAACCACCTAATTAGCACCTCCATTTTTACCCTTAATTAATTCCTTACCTTAACTTATTAACTCATTTAGACCATTCTAATTAGTTAAGTGACCAATTAATTTCTCAAGTTATATAGTTAGCCAATACTTAACATAATAATATTATGGCTCAATGTTTCAGAAAATCACGAACTATATATTTTTTTTAATGATTTTAGCTCATTCTTTAAAAATTATATAAAAAGGTCACAAATTAAGCATCCGATAATAATACTAACACCAATCTTATTTTTTGACTAAAATTTTGATCGGTGCTAACATGGTAGTCCACCTAAGTATGACACATGGACTTTAACAAGTCATGTAGGATCCACGTAAGCAGTGATGAGGAAAATCAATTACATGGATCCTACATGGCATGCTAAAGCATACGTGTCATGCTTACGTGGATCATACATGGCTTGCTAAAGTCCATGTGTCATGCTTCATCACCTTCCATGTCGGCATTGGTCGAATTTTGATCGAAAAATTAGATCGATGCTAGTATTGTTATCGAATACTTAGTTAGTGACCTTTCTATATAATTTTTAAAGAACAAGCTAAAATCATTAAAACGTGTATAGTTCGTGATTTTCTAGAACATTAAGCCTAATATCATTAAACATCCAAACCATATTATTAATTATTCATAGTTACAAACCCAAAATTTTCCTAATCTAACATCAATATACATGTCCAAAAATTAAGTTAAGTAAGGGTAAGTTTCCTTATACATTTTACAAACTAAGCACATAAATGGCAAGTCGATGAAGCTTTTCGACGACGATCCTCATTTATCTTCCTTTTCGCCTATACCATAAGAAACAAAGGTAAGTGATACTTAGTAAGTGTAATCCATGCAATACATGTAATGCATGCGATGCATTTAAAAATATTTTTCATGCCTTTCAAAATTCATTTTCTTTATCGAACGCATCCCGTCGATTATTAATATAATCAACCTCCTTTTAAAACATGCAATTTGTGAAAAATCACAAAAATCACTAGACACCTTCCCTTTTTCTCATTCTTTCCTTCGGAAAGAACAATATAAATGGCATTCCTCATTTTTCCCTTTTAGAAAGAATCCTTTTCCTTTTTCTCACGAGAGGTTGATCACTCCTTCCGCATAATAATTTCATTTCCTTTTCCCCTCGAAGGTGTCTAGCCATTTTCTCTTGAAAACATGTCCTTTTTCTTTTTTACTTTTCATAAAAATTATGAAGTAAAATACTTTTCATGGTCGGGATATGCAAATGAATTTGAATGAAATGCATTCCTTTCCCTTTTTCTCAATCACAATCATGAATATAAATCCTCTCAAGATTATGATATGCAAATGCATTTAATTAAAATTCAATGCATCAATACAAACCTCAAGTACGTGTAATACAAATAATCAAACAAGTACATATTCCACATAAATCAAATATGCATACAAAACATGAAGGAACATCAAATAAGAACAATGTCACATTCAACCTCTTTGCTGAATTGATTAAGCAACATAAATAATCCTTTTTTAACATGAGAGTAACCATTTTTCATTCCATTTCATAACTTTAATTCTCAAAATTATCATTAACTTCAAAGTAACCTTCCTTTCCCTTATTTCATTCATTTGGCCGAACACATGGCCAATGGAATATTAACTTCCATTTCTTCATTTTAACTCAAATTTTCTCATCTATATCATCGATTAAATATTTAATAATAAAATATACTTGAATTAGATCAATCAAAACAATCCATCTAAAGCTTTCCTCTTGGCTAAAATATTCAAACTAATGAGCAAATCTGAATTTTTCTATCCGAACACCATAAACACACCTATATCATTTCATCAAACACTTTGTATATATTAAGCCCTTTAAACATAAATTTCTTCATGTTTTAAGATATCAAATCACATTGTTCTAAGAATAAGGACATCATCAAAGCTCATATGTTCATTCCAATTAACCAATCAAACATATCAATTTCAACATCACTAACACAAATATAACACTTAACACACTCAATTCCAACATTATAACAATAACTTTAATGATTGATCTATTAAACCATAAACAATAAAACTTCAATTTAAGATCTAATACACATAAAAAAAAAACTAGTTTTTTATGATGTTTACCTCACTTAAAGCTTGATCCATTCCTCTCTTTTTTACTTTGAATTTCTTACTCTTTCTTTCTCCCTAAAGTTTCGACCTAAGCGAGAATTTTTCCTCCTTTGATCGATCCCCTAATATGGTTCCGAGGAGATTTTAGAATGTTGCTAGGGTGGCTAAGGTGGTTTGGAGTGTTGGCTTAGTGAATTTCCTCTTGGTTCCACTTGATTCACCTTAGTGTAACCTTGAATTTTACAAGTTTCTAACCTCTTTTCCATATTCTTCTCCCCCATTCATAGACAAGGTTTTCCCTTAATATTAAGCCAAGTGTATGACACTTGGTTTGATCTTAAACTATGACAATTAATGACTTCTCTAGATTTTTCT